CGTGGCTGACGTAGAGGCCCGCGGTGGAAGCGTTCATTCTCGCCGTCCTGCCCGCGACAGAGCGGCAATCCACCAGCAACCCACCAGCGACCCACCCGCGAACCACCGCCGACCCACCTGCGACCCACTCGCGACTCAACCGCAGCCCACGCGTGCCTGCGGCGGGCTTGTTGTAAAACCAGCGCCTGCGGCGGTCTTCTTCGAATCCCACCAGCCCTCTGGGCGTAGGTGGTCTAGGGCGGCTCCTCTTCCGACCCACTCTCTTCCCCTTCGGGGAAGGGTTATCACGGTTCCTAATTAATATACACCCCCTCCCCCAGGCACCCAGGGGCCAACTCGAAACCATGCCGACACCATGCCGCCCCCCCCCCCACCCACAATCCATGTCACAAAAACAATGCAAGGTACAATTTGGGGCAAAGTCTCGAGTCATGCTCGTGAGGCCCGCGAGCATTTTGTATTGTTTTGACAAGGACGGCGGGGGTGTCAGCATATTCCCTGCTGTGCGCAGGGCTACCATCCCTGACAACAAAAAATGCACCTCGCGGCGGCTAAATCTGGACCATACGCGGCCATCCCGCGATCACTGCCAAGTGGTTCTTGACAGGGACGGCGAGGGTGGTGGCGCGTGGCCTGCTGTGCGCAGGCCCACCAAACACACTGATGGGCATTGCTGTTCGACAAGGATGGCGGGGGCCGACATGTTTCACGATGTGTACTGTCACGTGCGCAGGCGCACCTGACGCACTCTGCACGTGCCCCGAACGCGGCGCACCTGGCGCGGCTGGAGTGTGCGGCACACCTGGCGCACTCGGAACACGTGGCGCATCTGGCGCACCAGGCGTGCCTGGCACGCTCGGGCCCCATGGGTGCCTGGCGCGCGTGGCGCCACTGGCATGCGTGGCGCACCTCGCCCAAGCGTCGCGCAGTTGGGGTCGGCCTTGGTTCCCAGTAGCTGCCCATCCAAAGACGACCGCTGAACATGCTCAGGCTCGGGTGTTACTTATGTGTAGGGAGGGCGGGTGGAAATGAGCTAGACGGCTTGCGGGCGGGTGGGTAGCTTGACCCCTCCCCCTACCCCTGGACCGGGACGGGGCTGGTCGCGGGTAGTTAGAGCGCCCAAAACGGTCTTAGCGAGGAAGCCACAGCCATTGGTTTTACTAGGGTTTGGGCCCCATTTGGGCCGCTTGGGGGGGTGGTACGCTAATTGAAATTCCCCTCTTCTTTGATCGATGTCCTCCCAGGTGGCCCTAAGAAGCAGCGCCCAGGAGGCCCCAAGAGGTCCCAAGATGGCCCCAGGATGGCCCCACGGGGTCCCCAAGAGGCCCCCAGGAGGCCCCAAGAGGACCCCAAGCGGCCCCAAGAGGCTCCCCCGAGGCACCCAAGACGCCCAAGAGCCCCCAGGACCGCCAAAAGACCCCCACGACGTCCCAAGAGGCCACCAAGAAGAGCCCAAGAGATACCCCAAGAGGCTCCGAGGGTCATCCAAGAGACCTCTGGCCCTTTTGCTTGCCCTCCTCCTCCTGCTCCTCCTTCCTCCTCATACTCCTTCTCTTATTCCTCCTCCTCCTCCTCCTCCTCCTCCTCCTCCTCCTCCTCCTCCTCCTCCTCCTCATCATCATCATCATCTCATCATCATCATCTCTCATCCTCATCCTCATCCTCATCCTCATCCTCATCCTCATCCTCATAATCATCATCATCATCATCATCATCATCATCATCATCATCATCATCATCATCATCATCATCATCATCATCATCATCATCATCAATATATCATCATCCTATTCATCCTCCTTCTCCCCACTCCCTCATCCATTCATCCAGCCTCCTCCTTCTCCTCCTCCCTCCTTCGCACGGTTCGGCCGTCCCCCTCTTTGCTCCCGCACTTCCCTGATCACCTCAATTCACCTGGACATTGTTTCTGGATGGGCTGGTGGGGATACTTGTTTTTGATCGCGACCGCGGCGAAAGGTCGGGCGGCGTCAGGGTTGGCTGGTGGGGATACTTTTTTGGCTCGCGAGCGACGCGGGCATCCGCGCGCCGTCAAACAGGTCGAAAAGCGAGAGTCGGAAACTGGCTGGTGGGGATACGCGAAGCGTCTAGAATTTGCCTCCGAGCCTCGCAGACGACCACCCCCCAGACCCCTCAGTCTTATCCACAACTGCGAGGGGCGATGGTATCCGGGTGCGAAAATGTAAGCCAGGCATGGTATGGCCAAAAACACGTGTGTGTATATATATACACACAGACACATGGACATATGAATGTATACGCACATTAGGCGTGTCTGATGGCATAATGTGACTGCGTGCCGACAACGCCAAGTCGTGCCCTGCCATGTCTCAGTAGACCACACATCACATCTCACCACACTGTGCCGTGTGATCTCGCACATGCAACACGTGCCGCATCGTAGCATAACGCATTGCACACCTAAAAATACAGTCACAGCGTCGGCGGCGCCGCCCGTCGCTGACAACTGTATTGCTGACACTGCCATAGTCCGTGAGATGGTGGGTTTCACTGTACAGTCAACCCGCGAAATAAGGACTTACGACAAGGATACAAGGGCCTTGGAAGGCCATATCAACACTTTGCGAGCGGGGCACGGACAGCGAAAGCAGCCACGGATGGGACGAAGGAGAAGGATGCAAGGGCAACCTTGGAAAATCGCTCATTCTTGCTATGCGGGTTGACTGCAGCGCACGACAATGGTCATGGTGACCCCGGCCCAGACGAGCCCGGGCGCCCCCGAGCGATGGCCGGCCCACGTAATCGCCGCTGTGGCGTCCCGCTGAGCTGCACGGAGCCCGGGCGCTCCTGCGCCGCTGGGAGGGAGGGAGGCTCACCGCACCGCCGTGCCAAGGGCAATGACCAGCGCACGGTGAGGGCACTGGATCAAGGCCAGAGCTGGGAAAGAAGGACAATCTTCAAGGACATGAGACCCTCCACTGGCCAAACCGAAGGGCGCTCGAGGGTACCCTCCCCCAGGATGCAGAAGAACATCCAACAAGCACGAAGGATATCAGGGCACCCTCCCCAAAGCGACCTCAAACTTAAACCTCGGTCCGACCGTCAGGAACAGTCGGACACTGAGGAAAAATTGGATACAGTCATGGCACTGCCAGAAGGATTTCTAGATAAGGAACGAGAGGGCTTTCTGGCCACGGCGAGCCTCGGCCGCGAACAGGTTCCGCGACCTAGATATATAAGGTGGTGCATGCCATGACAGTGGGCACTCTAACAATCCTATCATCGAATTGGAAATGTGTTCAAAATGTGTAAAACATGTTCTAAAAATGTGTCAAACATGTGTTTACATGTTTTAAACACGTTTGAAACATGTTTTGAACATCTGGAAATTATTTGGCAGCATGCTTCCTCTCCATTACTCGACTTCCCCAAAATGAGGAATGGCCCAGAAAACCGAGCCCCTCCCGAGCTCAAAGTGGTTTTTTTCAGCGTGTTGACTGTACTGCGGGGGACTTTTGAGTCGCGTGTCGCTCCGCCCGTTCTGGCCCACGACGCTTCGGCGCGACACGCTATTCACTTCCTCGTCGCACAGCGTCAGCGTCGCGAGCCTTGCCGAGCCTCCCGCCCCGCTTAGCGGAGCGACACGCTACCCGCTTGCACGGCATAGCGTGTCGACGGGGCCACCATGGCGACACGCTATCCAGAAGTCCCCGACCGTAAAGAATCCAGGGTCTGGAAGCACGTGGAACTCCAATCGTGAACTGGCCATGGAAATCTCCGCAGCCCTCATCAGACAAGAAATCCTCCAGGGTCTGAAGCCGCCAGGGCGCTTTCCTTGACGAACGCCCCCCCCCACCGCACTGCAGCGACAAGTGAGGCGAAGGGGGAGGTGGAGGGGAGAGGCAGGGAGGGAAGAGGCGAAGGGGAAGGAGGGAACAGGCCTCGGTCGTGAACTTCCGATTTCAAAAAAATCATGCGTCTGGTCATCTCCGATTGCTCGTGGACCCAAGGTGATAATAAAAAGAGCGCAGCACGGCACAATGACAAGTGACTGAATCAGGACCCTCTTGAATACAGTCGCGCCTGGAATAAGTTCGACTGGCTCGAGAGCTGGTCGCAAACACGTTAAACACGGACTGCAAGTCGAGCCTAGGTCTATGAACAAAATAAATATGCGTGTTCCTACGCGCCGCCTCTTCTTTGGACACCCGAAATGGGTACAGAAAAAAATGATACAATGCCCAACAACAAATGTTGTCCCAAACCAACAGCGGCCGCTGTTGGGCAGGCGGCCCTCTGTCTCGAATGGACACAGGCCGCGGCAGCGTGGACAGCGAATTCTGTTCAAAACGAACAGGAACTGCTGTTGGGCATCGTACCCATTCTTTCCGTGCCCATTGCGGGCGTCAAAATCTTCATCTCTTCATCCGACATGCCCGGCCGCGGCCCGCTTACCGTGAGCGCCACAGGTTCTGACTATCAGAACGCGGCCTCCCAAATGCAGTTGCTCGCCGACTGCTTGGGTGAGAAGTCGCCCCGCTCGCTCGCAGCAGCTGCCAACGCTCGCCCGCTGTGTCGGAGCCTGTGCTCGCGAAGCCCACGCGAGCGGGCGACCTCACAGGGCGTCCAAAGGACCTCGGGCCTCCAAGAAGGCCACCCAGAAGCCCAACAGCAGACCCCAAGAGACTTCTAAAAGGGCCGCGTCGTCGTCGCGTTCCGACCCCTCCTCCTCCTCCTCCTCCTGCTCCTCCTCCTCCCTCCTCCTCCTCCTCCTCCTCCTCCTCCTCCTCCTCCTCGTCATCATCGTCCTCCCCTTCCTCCTCTTCTTCCTCGTCATCATCGTCCTCGGCGTCGTCGTCATCGTCGCCGACGTCGTCGTCGTCGTCATCGTCGCCGGCGTCGTCGTCATCGTCGTCGTCGTCGTCCTCCTCCTCCTCCTCCTCCGCCTCCTCCTCCTCCTCCGCCTCCTCCTCTTCCTCTTCGTTATCATCGTCCTCGACGTCGTCGTCATTGTCGTCGTTTGCGGGCGCCCTGGGGGGGGCCCGCCCCATTTTTGGCACACCGTTCCCACGCTTCCACGGAAGGCCCCAGTGACAGCGACCGCATGGCGATCCCGCCCCATGTTGACACTGTCCCGGTGCATTAAAAAAATGCAGCACAGTGAAGCGTACGCCCTTTCCCCTATGTCCTTCAACATGGCCACGTGATACCCTCTCTCCTCTCGTGCTATGAAGAAATTTGCACATGCGCAGGTCGCCGTGTACCGTGCTGCTTTGGGACTGCCCCTCGGTAATCACGGAGAACGCCAAGTTTCAGATTCAAAGGTTCTGCTGCGAGCCAAAAGGCTCCACGTTCGGCAGTTGCTGCAGATTGCGCGCTCGAGGTATACCATACGTTTGCTCAGGAGAGCACCAGATGACCTGCTTATAGTGTTGGATTGTCGGTTAGCTAAACATATCGGGTGGACCAGCGAGCTGAGGCAGGCTGTTCGTTGGATCAGTTCTCATCGCCGTAAGAAGGAGGTCCCTGGGGCTGGCTGCCTCTCGGATTGGGCTGCGCGCATCAGGGCTGACCCGAATGGCTGTAAGACCCACCTCGGAAACGTTGCTTCGCTGGCCCCAGAGTCTCTTTCCGACGAGGCCGGGCCGCCCCCGGCCTCGGGCACTCGCTGCGGGCTGCCTCCGACGCCCCGCCGGCAAGAGGACGATGAGCACAGAGTCGGCGGCGAGGCTCGAGGCAAGAGGACGAGAGCACAGCTAGGAGGCAACTACTGGGAGGCTTTCGTCGGAAAAGTCAAAAAGGATTATGCCCCATTTGGGAGCTGTTACGCCGGAATGGGCCTCGGACTAAGCAGGATTAAGCCGGATTAAGCCGGATTAAGCGGGATTAAGCGGGATTAAGTCGGATTAAGCCGGATTAAACCAGATTTCGGACCAGGGCTAGATCAGAATTTGACCTCCCAGGAGTTGCATCCGAAGAGAGGGGGGCGGGTGTTCGGGTTCGAGGCTCGTGGCTTTCGCGCGTTCTCGTCGGCTCTCGGCGGTTTTCCGGCCTCGGGATGCTTGCCAGCAGCTGTGCCTCGCCGCGAGCGTTCCGGGAGCGCCCGCATCGTCCCGAACCCGCCAGAGACCCGAGTTATGACGCAAAAACCAAATTCGGCGGCGAGCGAAGGGGGCGGGAGCGAGAGGGAGAAGGCCTTCTCAGAAGGCGGCGTGGCTTCTCAGAAGGCCTATGGCCTTCTGAGAGGTTTCTTCTACAAAACCTCTCAGAGATGCCTTCCGAGCCTTCTGAGAGAAGGTCCCACCCCTCTCACTTCCCCCCCAAACTCGCCGCCGAAGGACGAAAGCACAGAAGCTTAGCGCCAGAGCCTCCCAGGCTGTCCGAAGAGGATTCTGTTCTCCCCGACAGCGAACGCACACCCGCCACGCGCTGAAGCACGCGCGGACTCGCCACGCTCTGAGCTGGGCGACCGCGGTGAGTGCAGGTCACGAACGGCGAGCATACGTATCCGTATCCGCGCCCTCGCGGTCTGGATTCCGTGGCGCGGTCCCGCGCCACACGCGGTCGTGCGGCTACGTTCCGCGCGGGGCGTCCGCGACATGAACGCCACGTATCCGCTGGGTCGCGGACCCGAAGCCCGGCCCGCGAGTCCGCGGACACGGATACGTTTTTCGCCCACGAGCATGGACATCGTTCCACGGATCCCCAACTGGCCGATGTACTATACCCCGCTAGATACGGACATGGGCTGCCCCCTTCGGGTTTCGAGGGGCATGTCCCCAGCTGGGGTGGTGGGATGGTGGGGATCGGAATGGGGATGGAGATGGGGATAGGGATCGGTTGCACGATACTGAGGGCAGGATCGAGGAGAGGCAGATCGGCGGTGACAGCCGCCAAGGAATTGCGCAAGGACAGGCCCTCCGCTCCTGGGGCGCAGGGTCGCGACCAGGCGGTCTGGCGCCTGGGGCTTCGCGGCCGCCGCGCCGGGCGCTGCGGGGGGGGGGGCGCAAGGGGAAGGCACAGGACCACGACGACCACGACGACGACAACGACGACGACGACTACAGACGACGACAGACGACGACGACGACCACGACGACGACGACGACGACGACAGACAACGACGACGACAGACGACGACAGACGACGACGACAGACGACGACCGACCACGACGACGGCAACGACGACGACGAAAGACGACGACGACGACAGACAACGACAGACGACGACGACCACGCCGACAGACGACGACGACCACGCCGACAGACGACTATGACAGACGACGACCGACCACGACGACGGCAACGACGACGACGAAAGGCGACGACAGACGACGACGACGACGACGACAGACGACGACGACGACGACGACGACGACGACGACAACAACAATGACGACGACGACGACGACAGACAACGACAACGACAGACGACGACAGACGACGACGACCACGCCGACAGACGACGACGACAGACGACGACCGACCACGACGACGGCAACGACGACGACGAAAGACGACGACAGACGACGACGACGACGACGACGACGACGACGACGACAACGACGACGACGACGACGACGACAACAACAACAACAACAACAACAACAACAACAACAACAACAACAATGACGACGACGACGACGACAGACAACGACGACGACAGACGACGACAGACGACGACGACCACGCCGACAGACGACGGCGACAGACGACGACCGACCACGACGACGGCAACGACGACGACGAAAGACGACGACAGACGACGAGGACGACGACGACGACGACGACGACGACGACGACGACGACGACGACGACGACAACAACAACAACAACAACAACAACAACAACAACAACAATGACGACGACGACAACGACAGACGACGACGACAGACGACGACGACGACGACAAACGACGACGACAGACGACGACGACCACGACGACGACGACGACAGACGACGACGACGACGACGACAGACGACGACGACATACGACGACGACAGACGACGACGAGGACATCGGACGGCGACCACGACGACGACGACGACAGACGACGGCGACGGACGACGACCGACGAAGATGACGAACACAACGACGACGACGACGACGACAGACGACAACGACGACGACGACGACGACAGACGACAGACGACAACAGACGATAGACGACAGACGAACGACGACGACGACGGACGACGACGACGACGACGACGACGACGACGACGGACGACGACGACGACGACAACGACATTCACGACGACAGACGACGACGGCAACGGACGACGACGACGAACGACGACGACGACGACGACAGGCAACGACGACGACGGACGACGACGACGACGACGACAGACGACGACGACGACAGACGACGACAGACCACGACGACGGACGACAGACGACGACGACAGACGACGGCAGACGACAGACGACGACAACGACGACGACGACGACGACGACAGGTGACGACGACAGACGACAGACGACGACGACGACGACAGACGACGACGACAGACGACGACGACCACGACGACGGCGACAAACGACGACGACGACGACAGACGACAGACGACGACGACATACAACGACGACGACGACGACGACGACAGACGACGGCGAGGACATAGGACGACGACCACGACGACGACGACGACGACGCAAACGACGACGACTACAACGGACGAAGACGGACGAAGATGACGAAGACAACGACGACGACAGCAAACGACAACGGACGACGACGACGACGACGACAGACGACAACGGACGATGACGACGACGACGACAGACGACAGACGACGACAGACGATAGACGACAAACGACGACAATGACGACGGACGACGACGACTGACAACAACAACAACAACGACGGCAACGACAGACGACGACGACAGACGACGACGACAGACGACGACGACGACGACATACAACCACGAACGACGACGACAACGACGTTCACGACGACAGACGACGACGACAACGGACGACGATGACGAGGACATACGACGACGAGGACAGACGACGACGAGGACATACGACGATGACATACGACGACGACATACGACGACGACGACAACGACGACGACGACGACGACGACGACGGACGACGGACAAAGACGACGACGACAACGACGACGACAGACGACAACGGACGACGACGACGACGACGACGACAGCCGACAGACGACAGACGATGACAGACGACAGACGACAGACGACAGACGACGACGGACGACGACGACGACGACGACGACGACGACGACGACAGACGACAGACGACAGACGACGACGGACGACGACGACGACGACAACGACGGCAGACGACGACGACCGACGACGATGGACGACGACGACGGACGACGACGACGACGACGACGACCGACGACGACGACGACGACGACAGACGACAGACGACGACAACGACGACGACGACGACAGACGACGACGGAGGACGACGACGACGACGACGACAGACGACAACGGACGACGACGACGACGACAGAGGACGACGACGACGACGACGACGACGGACGACTACGGACAAAGACGACGACGACGACTTACGACCAAGAGCGACCACGACGATGACAGATGACAACCGACGACGACGACGACATGCGACGACGACGACGTCGACGACGACGACAGACGACAGACGACGACGACGACGACGACGACAGACGACAGACGACGGACGACGACGACAGACGACCACGACGACGACAGACGACGACGGACGCCGACGACGACGACCCCGAAGACGACGACGACGACGACAACCTACCACGACGATGATGATGATGGTGGTGGCGGTGGTCATTGTCACCACCACCACCATCATCATCATCATCATCATCATCACCCATCCCACCAGCATCATCAGCAGTATCGTCAGCATCATCAGCATCAGCAGCATCATCATCATCAGAAGCATCAGCATCGTCATGGTCATGATCCTCATCGCCGTCCTCGTCATCATCGTCATCGCCGTCATCATGAGGATCATCGGCATCGCCACCATCAGCATCGTCATCGCCATCATGATCGCCACAGCTACCACATTCATCTTCATAGCCATCCTCATCAGCATTCCGTTCAGCATCATCATCATCAGCAACAGCACCAGCAGCAGCATTGTCATCCTCAACATCAGAATCCTCGTATGCATCGTCGCCATCACAATTAACAGCATCATCACCAGCATCAGCATAATCAGCAGCAGCATTATCATTAGCCGCATCATCATCACCAGTATCAGCATCAGCATCATCAGCATAATCATCAGCATCGACATCATCAGCATCGGCGTTATCAGCAGCAGCATCCTCGTCCGCATCATGATTATCATCACCATCATCAGCAGCAGCATCATCAACATCATCATCAGCAGCATCAGCATCAGCATCATCATCCGCATCATATAATGTGATGCTGCTCGCCGCGTGGCAACGCAGGTGACGGTGGGCGCAAGCAACCCAAAGTGTGCTCAACCCGTCACGTGGCAACGCCACGAAACCGTGTTATCATGTTCTGCTCGCCACGTGACAACTCAGGCGCGAAAACATATGATTCCACTCCGCTCGTCACGTGGCAACGCAGGGCGGCGGAAACAAACTGCATTCTGCTCCACCCGTCACATGGCAACGCCTGCAGGGGGGGGGAAAAAGACAATACGGTTCTATTATACTCGCCGCGTGGCATCGCAAGGGGCCGACAAAATACTACTCTACTGTACTCGTCCCTTTTAGCGCGGGGGGGCGGAATTACCCGTTAGGAAGCAACGCGGATGGGGCAAAACAAACTTGATTCTTCTCTACTTGTCACATGCGACAGAGGGGTGAAGGGCTCCCTCATCCCTCGTCCCTTCCCCCTCCTCGCCCTCCGAACCTCCCGCAATACTCCTCCATCAACGTCACCCTTCATACCTCGAACTCCTCCCCGCCGTGCTCCTCGAAAGCCGTATGGCCAGACACTCCCAGAACATGGCGGGGAATCGAAGAGCGGCTCCTACCTCCCTCTTCCCTGTACCCTTGAACATCCCCAGATCGAAGCCCCACCCTCCACCCTTTCCGTCACTCCACTGTCGGAGGACCGCCGTGCGCTTGCGCTCCCCAGGTCGCGCGCCAGCGTTTCCTAGGCACGGGCCTGCGGTTTCCCCAAGGTCCACGTTTCCAGAGCTCGGCCTCGGCAATTCTGGGGTTCGGCCCCCGCGATTCAAAAACTCGCGGCTCCAGGATTCGGCGCCTCCAGTAGAAGCCTCCTAGACGGGGTCGGAGTATATGGGGTCGGAGGATCGCGCCGCATCACCGATACGTCGACGATGCATCGGCGATGCATCGGCTATGCATCGGCGACGTCGGCGAGGCGTCGGCGACGTCGACGTGAAGCAAGTCGGGCTCCACATCGAGCCGCATCGGCGATGCGTCGGCGATGCGGCGAGATCCTCCGACCCCATCCACGTGCACCTCATCTAGGAGGCCTAGATCCAGGTGTCCGGGATGTCGTCCTCGTCTCCGGGGGGGGGGGGCCCAAATGGGGCGGCGGCGCCATGCGAACTGCGCCACTTGGGACCTGAGGTGGAGCGCCCCTATGGGGCCACGGAACGCGTGAGGGGTGTGCCCAGATGGGGCGGCGGCGCCATGCGAACTGCGCCACTGGGACCTTCGGTGGAGCTCCCCAATGGGGCCACGAAGCGTGTGCGGGGTGTGCCCAAAATGGGGCGGCGGCGCCATGCGAGCTGCGCCACTTGGGACCTTGGGTGAGGCTCCCCATGGGGCCACGAAATGTGTGGGACCTTAGGTGGAGCGCCCCAATGCGGCCGCGAAGCGTGTGCGGGGTGTGCCCAGATGGGGCGACGGCGTCATGCGAGCTGCGCCACCTGGGACCTTTTAGGGGTGAAAGCTCGACCGTTCGCATGTGGAATCCACACGCGGAGTGCCTCTCGTGGAGGTGCCCCCATGCTCGACCCGCGGGCCCACGCCTGCCCCGGGCATGGCCCTGAGCAGCTCCTCTCGAGCTTCGGCTGGCTATGGCGATGAGGTGCAAGCCCCTCCTCCTCCTTCTCCTCCTCCACCTCCTCATCCTCATCCTCCTCCTCCTCATCCTCCTCCTTCTCCTCCTCCTCCTCCTCCTACTACTCCTCCTCCTCCTCCTCCTCCTCCTCCTCCTCATCCTCATCCTCATCCTCATCCTCATCCTCATCCCCATTCTCCCCCAGACTTAGACCGCTACTGCCTCTGGCGAAGTCGCGGGCGTTGTTTTCTCCGACGGCAGCACAGACAGTACAGAGGGGTCCGAGAGCAGGCAGGAGGAGGAGCCATGCACAAGGCACAGACCAACGTGCGCTCCACGCCCCGCCATTTCAAAGGCTGCCCAGCTTGGAGAAGGCGATGGCCGCGCATACTACCAGGAACAGCTGCAGGGCGAAGTACGAGAACACCCCCAGGAGGTAATACTTGAAACCCTCATCCTGGTACGCATTCACCTCGTCGATTGGGTCCTGCATCCAGTAGAAGAAGAGCGGGTGCACAGCCTTGATATTGTATGCGGCCTCGGCCTGCTGCACTGCCAGCCTGAAGAACGCACGCTGGCCGTCGTTCATCAGCCGCAGGCCCGCGTGCGCCGTGGGTTTGTTGAAATCACCGCAATGGAAATCCGCACTGTTTCCCGAACAGCAGCCCGTGCCAACGGCCCAGAAGTCATACGTCTCGAGTGCCTTGTATGTTGCGTTGTCGTCCCCAATAGTGATGGGCGCCACGCAGTACATGTCCAGATTTTTGAAGCCCATGGAGCGCCGGAGGTCGAGCTTAGAGTCGGCAGTGAAGACCACGCGACCAGCATCCATAAGCTGCTGTCCCCTGAATCTGGACGGATCGATCCGCGTGTACGTGTTCAGGTTCGTGACATCATAGAAGGGCTGCAAGTTCGTGAAGAAATTGACATCCCCAAAAACAAAGCCACAGACCCATGCGAGGAGCAACGCGAGGAATAGGAAGATATACCAAGTCGGCTCCTTGCCTGCTCCAGCCATTTTCTTTCTCGTTTCGCCAGCGGCGTAGAAGCCACTCCAGATGACCATCCCGAAGCAGAGGCAAACGATCAAGTAGGCAAGCATCGGTTGCTGGTAGTGCAAGGAGAAAGACATCACCCCGAAGACCACAGAGAAAAGCGCCCATGGAAGGAAGAGAGACATGCCGATGGAGACGATGTTCATCCTCTTCCTCCCCCGTGGCTCAAAGAAGCCTTTGGATATGCCGCTGTTGGCGACTCCGTACTCGGGAGTGTACATCGGCTGCTGCGTCATGGGACCACCCACGGGAGCGTTCCCGCCCTGGTAGTAATGTGGATAATTCATACCTGACAGATTCGCTTACCAGCAACTTTGGATAAGGAGGATTGGACGACCCAGATCGATAGGGGTTACGCGATAGGGTCGTCCCTTCATACGAAGTGTTTGCACCAAAACGGCAATTTACGATCAGAGGTCACTGAGCTTTTTATGGAAGCTGCCCTGCGCTTCGAAATCATCCGTGAGCAGACTTGATCCGTCGATTGCCCCCCCCCTACACTCGCTCCAACCGTCCACAGCTCCGCCTGCGGTCGCCTTCCATTTAGGAGCTTCTAGGATCGACCGACCTTCTAAGATCTAAACCTTGCTCTGCCCGCAATTGTGCTTTGTGATTCTGTGTGAAAACAAGGCGTGATTCTGACGGCCTAAAAAAAAATGTCCGCGCCAGGGTCTCGTGCCCCCTGGGCGCGATCTGCTGCTGCATGCGCGTCAGACATGCACTGAAAATCCACAGTGGGAAGAGAAAGGGTGCACACCAGGTCAAATAAAGAAGGAGACGAGGAAGGCGCCAGATATTCCACTCCATGTGGCTATAAGACATTCGCGTGTTACCCTGACACGCCTTCACTGGTGCACTCTAATTTCGCTTCGGTCGACTTCGACTCGGGCGGCCGCTTCATTTTGCACTTCCAGGAGCAAAGTTCCAACCTTCCACTGGCTTCCAATAGGGGTACGAAAACCTGTCGGCAAACCGAGCCCGACACACTCGTGCATCAATGCCGACCGTTGCGGCATAGGTAACACGTCCAAACAATGCCTGCACCAAGGGAGCTTACCTGGTTGAGATATAACTGGCTGCGTCTTCCAGGTTCTCGAGCCGAAACCCGCCCCGCTGCCGCCCGATACCGTCTCGGTGCCGCCCCCGTGTCGCCCCGGTGTCGCCCCGATGCCGCTCCGTTGCCGTCCTGGTGCCGCCTTTTTGTGCTGCTGCGCATTGATTGCTACTGGTGTGCACCGCCGCCGCTGCGCTGCAATTTACTGCAGTGATTGGCATGGGCTGACACCGGTTTGCACTAGTCTGCGTTGCCTTGCAAGCTTGACCATTTCTTGCACCGCTTTGCCTAGCCTTGCAATGAATTGCCTTGCTTGGTATTGCTTTCCACTGCTCTGCACTGCGTTACGTTGCCGTGCACTGCTTGCACCGCGTGGCACTGAAATGAATATACTTGCATTGCTTGCAGTGGTTTGAATGACGTTGCACTGCTGTACAGTGCTGTGCCTTGCTTTGCGTTGCTTGGCAGAGCTTGACATTACGTTACATTGATTTGGTTCCCTGATTGGCACTGCTTGCACTGCTTTACGTTCCTTGCACTGCACTGCTTCACTTTGCGTTACATTGATTGGCCCTCTATTGCACTGATTTTCATTACGTTGCATCGCTCTGCACTGATTTGCATAGCCGTGCCTGAATGTGCATTGCTTTACCCTGTTTCCGGTCGCTTTCAACTGCCTGCACTGATTTTCACTCCGATGCGTCGCTTAAACACTTGACTGCAATGTACTGGTTGCAATGTACTGTACACTTCGTTCGCATTGCTCCCATGTTCTACATTTGTTTGCGCTACTTTACACTGGACTGGATGCCATGCGTTGCTTTGCATTGCTCTGCACTCCGTTGCATTGCTTCGCGTTACTTTGCATTACTTGCATTGCTTTGAATTGGCTTGTCATGCGCATTTGCTTTGGGACCAGACCACGACACCATGCAAATCGCCCCACCATCGAGACAGGATTGGTAAATCATCGCACAACAGGCACACCATTTGGACACCATCAACACTCAATCGGCACTGCATCAGGACACCATCAGCACAACACCAAATCATCATCGGAATATCACCAACAAACCGTTGGGGAAAACCGTCACGCATCCAGCGGGACATGATCGGGCAACATCGGGACACCATCAGCAACTTCTCGGGACACAGTCGGAATACGACCGGGACACCATCAACGAACCATCGGGCTACCACTGGGACACCAACGCACCAAGAGACTGCGCGCGACCGCCCGAAAACACAGCTGGACAGATCAACGAGTGGCCCTGACACCTCATCACGCGCGCGTCTCAGAAAGAAACGACGTGTCACGTACGACTCGAGCTCGAAACTCGAGTTCCCGGCAGAGGGGCTCACAAAGGCCTCACACCTCCAACCTCCACACGAGTGCAGCATGCATCTGCCTCAGCGTGCCGCTTGGCTTGCGCTATGCCATGGTGGCACGGCGGTGCTGCGATTCTGCACACAGCTGATTGGACCACGGTGAGCATTTGTAGGGGAACAAAAAGTGGCATAAACATAAAAACTCGGAGGTCCGCGCGGATTTCTCGGATCGGCGCTGGGGCCCCCCGGCGGCGCCTCCGGCGCCGCCCCTAGCGCGCTCCGCGCGCCAGGAAGGGGGGTCCAGCGCCGATCCGAGAAATCCGCGCGGACCTCCGAGTTTTTATGTTTATGCCACTTTTTGTTCCCTTAACTCGGCGGCCCCCATGTCGAGCCTCTGTCGTCGTTCGACCGCGATGGCCCAGGAGGGACCCCTCTGGGAGCCAAGCCAGGGGCCTTTGGCGGTCGTGCCGAGCTGCGACGCTCTCTCCCTTCAGCCCGACCCTGGGTGGCGGGCACCACAGGCCCCGCGCTGCCAGCACGACCTCCGCCAATCGTTCTGTTCACGCCTACCTGCCTGCGTCCCGCCATGAATGTGCTCCAGTGTAGGGTGGCAGACCGTTCGAAGTGGGTGCGGGTCACGATACCATCGTCGGCATCTCGCTCATCATCCTCTATTTTTCGATCCTGAGTGCCTCGCAGGAGTTCCAAGGGTCTGGGGCGTGCCTGTAGAGGCCCCCTGGGGGCCCTGGAGACATCTCGAATTCCTCTCGCTTCGCGGGGTGCACATCCGGAGCAAGTACAGTCCAGTCGTTGCGGAGCACGTACAGTCCAGTCGTTGGGCGCACTTGCCGCGTGTGGCCCATTCGGAGGCCGGTCTGGGGCCTCTCGCGGCCGCAATCACCGCTGTGGAAAAGTGCTCAAATGTGGAAGGTGTGGGCGTTGCTTGGCGTGACCTGCTCGGCTGCCGCACGTGCGTGCCGCTCCGTCCTGCAATCCCCAAGGCTTCTGGGCGGCCTCATGGGGGGCTCTTGGGAGCCTCTTGATAGCCTCGTGGGGTCTTCTTGGAGCGTCTTTGGAGCCGGTTTGGGGCCTCTTGGGGCTTCTTATTGACGTCTTGCGCCGGCTTCGGGCGCTCTTGCGCCGTCTGGCCCCTTCGGAGGCCATCTTGGAAGCCTCTCGCGGCCGCCTTAGGGCTCCCTTGAAGTCCTCTTGGGCCATCTTGGGGGCCCCTTGGACCGTCTTGGGGGCCTCTTTTGGCCGTCTCGGGGCCCTCTTGAGCAATCCTGAGGCCCTTTTGGGGACCTCGTTGGCCGTCTTGAGGTCTTCTTGGAGGCTGCTTGGGCCGTCATGGTCCTCTGAGAGCCGAAAAGGGCGAGAACGCTAAAATCTGTCGAAAACCAACTGGAAATCAATGATTTTGGCTCCTGGAGGCGCTCTTTCGAATCCTCTTGGGGGACCCTTGAGCCGTCTTGGGGACCTCACGGGCCTTCTTGGGACCATCCAGGTCAGTATTGGGGCCGTCTTGGGCCGTCTTGGGGCCATATTGGGCCATCTTGAGGCAAGAGGCCCAAGAAGCCGAATTTGTTGACTTGTCATTGGTTTTTGTAGGTTTGGAGCCCCAGAATGAGGGCCTCCAGATTTGGTACGGCGCTGTGGCGCGGCTCCAAGGGGGGGTTTGGGGGGAGACATAAGAATGTAAAACAATACAATATGTGGCAATTGTACAACGATTGGATACATTGGATACGTTGCATTATCGCCTCCGCGGAAAACGCTGCCGCTCAGCACGTCACTTCCGGACGTGGGTTCCCTTGGACGCCCCTGTAGCGACCCTTGAGGCCCCTAGACGGACCTGAAGCCCGTAGGAAGCCTTTGGAAGCCACTGGGAAGCCGTTGAAAGCCCCTGGACCGTACTGGCAACCCTTGGAAACGCGATACTCCAGATTCCGTAGTCTCATTTCGGGGGGGGTCTCTTCCAGGCTATCTTGGAGGGCCTGGGGGGTCTGGGGACGATGTTTTGGAGGGTTCTCCCACGGGGGAGGTCTGAAATGGCTTGCCTTGGAGGGTCCAGACCCCCTCCCTTGTATTACGAAATCTGGAGTATGCTTGTGGGAAGCCCCGAGGCCGCCAGCAAATCCTCCTCCTCCGAGCCCCAGTGACACGGGGCCCTGCCTCACCCGAGTTCTCTGCGCAGGCGAAGGACTCTGAACGTCCTGGAGCAGGGCACTTGGCCGATTCTTCTCGGCTTGTCCTCCTCTTCCGACGTCAGCGCAAGCACGAGTGAGGCCGACGAGATGCTGGCACCTTCTTGGAGCTCGTGGGAGCAGCAGGCAGCCTGGCTGGCTGGCCGGTGCACGCAATCTCTGGCCTTGCGATCCGCGGTCGCCCTGCCGCCTCCCCCCCCCTTCCTCTTGGCAGCGCGCACAAAGGGGGAAGGGGGAGGGGGAAGGCTTCTTAGAAGGAGGCTGCTTCTCAGAAGGCGCCAGCTTTACATCCATAACAGACCAGGCCCGCGCCCTCTGAGAAGCAGGGGTGCTTCTGAGAAGCCCTTCCCCTTCCCCCCTCATTGACCCCCGTCCCCTTCCCCCTTCTAAGCAGCCCTTCCCCCCTTCTAAGAAGCCCTTCTCAGAAGCCCTTCCCCCCTCATCGGCCCCCTTGTAAGAAGCCCTTCCCCCCTTCCCCTTCCCCCTCCCTCCCCTAATTGACCCCCTCTGCGCGCGGCGGCCTTCCTCTGCCTCGGCCTGCCCCGGCGGCGGCCCGCCTGCCGCCGCGCCCCCGCCGCCCGGCACTCGCCGCGGCGCCGGCGCCGGCCTGCGGCAGGCCGCCGCAGACACACCGCTGCCGGCTTCCCCCGCCGCCCCTGGCCTCCGCTCTGCCCCCTCCGCCACCCTCCCGCCTCCCTTGCCCCGCTCCGCCCGTCTCCCTTCCCCCTCCGCCGCCCCCCCCCCTCCCCTGCCCCGCTCTGCCTCTCCCGATGGGCCGACTCGCCACCACCACTGCCACAGGCAGGACGGGGGAGAAGGGAGGATGGGGAGGTCCTCCTCCTCCTCCCTCCTCCTCCTCCTCCTCCTCCTCCTCCTCCTC